TCTCAGGCAAAGTGACAACATTGCATCAATGTATGAGCCCCTCCCTGCTTGTTGATGTAAATCTTCAGTCCTGTGCCAGGAGATCCTGGCTATTGGCTATTCTGGGCCTCTCTCACACTCTCTTGTTGGAGCTCCTGTTGTTTGTTTGAATAATTAAATATTGATTGGGCCAGAGAGCAAAAGAGAGAGTGACTTGATAGCCTAGTGGTTAAGGTGCTTACTTTGAGGTTGAATAAAGTGTTTTCCCACATGTAGGATAGCAGAGTTAAACTTTGATATCTGTTAACAACTTTTTATAAAAAAGTTTTCTAACTACAAAGAACCTGAACTGCGTAGGAACAAAATTATGCACGGATCTTCTAACTCAGCCTATGTGCTGCCCAAGAGATTTTTCTCCCATGCTATTAGTAACTTTGCTGTTTCCACCAGCAAATTACTGTTCATGCTCAGCTTAGGGGAAAAAACAGCTAGATTCAGGTACCTTCCTCTGAAGAATCTGATGGAAACTCAGTTTATATATGAGATTTTTGGTGGGCTACAGATGAATGAACATGATTGTCTGGTGAATGAGCATAAGAATACCTAAACATCTAAACTAATTAGATCAAATGACTGCTTATTAAATGTAAACAAAATGGAGTTCAGTTTTTAAAAGTTGGTGTGTTCCTTTGTTCTTGAAACTGAAAACTCAGCATCTTTGTAAAACTATGTGCAGGCATAATTGTTTTTTTTTTGTTTGTTTGTTTTTTTTAAATCTTACTTTCTTTTTATCATATTTAGCCTTAACTTTCTAAAAATTGAAATTGTCAACAGCAACATTTCAAGATAAATGCACTATCAGGCTTGGAAATTTTCTTATTTTTGTAAACATTAAGACCCAGGGAACAAAATAAGGGCTATAGTGTGGATTAAGTGAAATATCTCAAGGCTGTGCTTTTCTGATAACTGAACCAGAAGTGACCTTTCTCAGACACAATTACAGAGCTGTATGTTTTTCCTTTAATTTCATCAGGGGTTTAATTAGTATACAAATAAAACTTCCCTTATCTTCCTTTCTACCTAATTGGCTTGTCTTAGCTTATATATGAAATATGTGAAAGTGGGCTGTAATTAGGGTGACCGTGTTAACCTTTTTTTCTCAAATGTACTGTTGCCTAAAGGCCTCAAGGCCTAGAAACAGTGCTTGGATTATTGCTTTGCAATCACTATGGCTGTCCCATAGGTTTTCTCATGAGCAGAAGGGCTTTGGGTGCTGCAGGTTCCCACTGCTTAACGGGATCTTCATTCTTCTCCCCACTAAATGTTTATTGATTATCTCACTGTTCCACACTCAGCCTCCAACAACTTAATATCAGGTGACAGTCAGGAGAGTTCTCCAAGTAATTAGAGTTGAGCATTGGGGGAACAATTAGGAGCAGAGTTATTAAACTTGATTTATCCTATTCTCTCCTGAACAGTTTCTTGGATATCTGAACATCACACTTTCACAATCTACCCTGGTTGAGAAATTAGTGGCTAACCTGCTGCTTATCATTGTTGCCTTGCTGCCTTGAGGCACACCCTCTTGGTTTCAGTCACTCAGCTAGAAATATTAGAGTCCATAAAGTTTATCAAGGGTTTTAATTAGATCAATCTGAAGAAAGGGGGAAAAAGGCTTAGCAGCCCTTCCTTTAAAGCAATATAAATGGTGTTCAAACAGTTTAAAAGGTTTGTCTTTAACCCACAATGGCAAGGAATTTCAAACATAAGGCTGAAACTTTTGTCTTTAAATCACCCATTGTGCCTAAGTGTGGGAGCTTTTATGGCAAATACAATTGGTGACTGTTTGAAGACCTCTGAAAATTGTTCCCCCAACCATTTAAAATAATATAGCATCAGTGCATTAAGAGCTATCATTTTGCCATATTCTATTTTCACATTGGCACCAGCTAGCAAAAATTGTACATGATGGTAACACCTGTCACAGGTCAGGGCCAGCTCCACCTTGGTCCCTCTTATGGTCTCTGAGTGCACCCCTTGAGCCTTCACCTCTCCCAGTAAGAATCCTGCCATTCTTCACTCTTAGACTGGACCCGAGGCTACGGTACCCTGTATACCAGCTGTGATTATTCAGGAGGTTTAACTGGGTTTGGCTACTTGCAGTTCTTCCCTTTGGGACCTGTGACCAGCAGTGAATACATTTACCCAAAACAGCCTTTTAAAAACAAAATATCATTTAATCTTAACAGTAGGAGCCCAGCATAACAAGACAGAAGGATTTTTAAAACAATAAAACAGTCTATGTGCATATATCTTACCTAAAGACTGAAGCCTAAAACACCCTAACCTCTGAACTCTGGGGAGTCAGACTGCTCCCTAACAGTATCGTTCTCTGCTTCCCCCTTAACCGTCTAACATTGTCACAAGAGAGTCAGTGTCGTTAAACGCCTCTGAGGCTTTTGATCCTTCTCTCCACCCCCTCACAGAGGCTGAGCCCTCCTGTGGAAAACATGCCTAACAAGCCCTGTAGGGGGTGGAGGGTATGCCATCACTGGAAAGAAAAACCTGCAGCACCAAGTCTCAGAGCCCAGGTCACTTGACTTGAACTCAAACTACTGGGCTAAAATAGCAGTGTAGACATTCCCACTCAGGTTGGAGCGTCTCCCTACTTTTATAAAGAATTCCCTGGGATTTTTAATAACCACAAGTGATCTGAGCTTGGAATCTACATCTTATGTAAAAGAGGGCTTCTCTGGCAATGCAATACATTTTGGCTCAATACTGAAGCATTGGCTTGGTAATACTGACTTTGGGAGAAGGTTTCATAAAACAGTGTAGCAGGATTCTACAGTACCTAGGCATTGACAAAATTAAATGGATTTGGTGTGACATTTTAGTTGTAAATGCTGAATTTCATTTCTTTTGCAGGTGGACATTATTTCAATTTAGTCTTATATTCTTTAATTTCCTTTCTTTCGGATAATTTTGTCTGGCTGTATTTAGAAAGATATAAGTGCTATTGACTTTTAGCAAGCCTGAGATATCTTCAGATTGGTTATATTCTTAGTGCCCTGTAAATGTTTACCAGACTTTTGTGTATACTTAACACACAGTCATAGTATGCTATGAATGTATGTTCATGGCACTCCACATTCAATATTATGGATACAGAATATAAACTACACAGAACATTCTTAATATGAAGTTACAAAATACACTCAGAAGCCCTTTTGAAAAATGTGCACAGTATGGATCATTATTATCAAATGTTTAGTTTAAAATGATATTCAAAAGATAAATATTATACATGTATAGTAGCAATTTTTAAAGCCTCTCTATCTCGGCCAATATACATGATTCCTTTTTTAATTTCAAAAGGGATTAGTCCACAATGGAGGCAAAAGATGTAAAACATTTCTTTTTTAAATGTCTGATTACCTTCCAGAAATTCAAAAATAGAACTCTAGAGCAATACATTTGTCTGTCAATTGATTGATTGATTGCTCAGGAAGATATTCTTCTAACTTGAAGATCAAACAATTTGACTAACCGGATTTTCTTTGTTAGGAGAAGCAAAATCTTACTATTTACAGGCATCAGAAGATCTAGGTTCTGCTCCCAGCTCTGCTACAGATTTGCTATGTCACCTTTGGCAAAAACCTTAACCTCTCTGATCCTCAGCTTCCCATTTGTAAGATGGAAGTTGCCTACTTTCCAACATGTCTGGGGCCTGATTGTCAGAGGTGCAGAGTGTCCCCCGTGCCCACTGACTTCAGCTGGACTTGTGGGTTCTCAGTGACTCTGAAAAGCAGACCCTTAACTCATTAAAGTTTCTAGAACATTGAAATCCTCAGACAGAAGTAACTATAGAAATGTAATTTACTATACAAATATAAAAACTCCTGGCTCCAGATCTGAGAATATATCCCCTAAATTTGCAAAGCCAGCATGTAAGGACTTAGCCCTGCAACTGTACAGCTAAATCCCACTACATTGTTTTGAAAATTTTATGGTAAATTTTTCTATTTAACATAAAAGTAAACTTATAGCCAACTCCCTTTTAAATTATATTTTACATACTGAAGAGACAAAATAGATGGTCATAAGTAAAAATACAGAAAAACATATTACCAAAATGTAAACATATTACTAACACTCCTGTTTGTAACATTAAAGATTCCTCCTAACAAAAGGGAGAAGGAGAATTGGAGCAATGAATTGAAAGATGTTATGATTACTATATTACATTATAGCAGAAACAGCGAAAAAATCTTGACTGCAGTTTTGCTAGTCAGGTTTCTTATTGTTCAGCTTACAGTGCTATTTGACATCTATTGAATTAATCTGAATTAATTTTAAACACTAAGCTTTAATGCTAAGTAAGAGTGTTGGGTATACATTAGGAAACAGAAACATGCAAAATATATTGGAGATCAGAAAAGTCATAAAATAGTTGATGTACTATAAAGTGATGTGTTGGACATAACTTGCAGTGTAGTTAACACTGATTTTGCACACTAGAAAAACTGTTGGATGGTTCTTTATTTTTATGTTGGACTCTCTCCTTTCTGTTGATTTCTGTAAGGTGGGTAATATTGCTCAATATTTAAACGAACAGTACCTTGCATTTTTAGTTTTATTTTGTCTGTAAATTGTTTTATTATGAAGTATTTTTACTTAATATTTATTTGGGAGTTTTAAAAATATGATATTCCTGATATTTTCATGTGCCCAGAATATAGTTTTTAAGTATTGTACCTGTAGCATCTGTCTTTGATTCAGCAGATCATTTTGTCTGTTTATAAAACATTTATAAATGTATGATGCACTAAAAAAATTAGATTTCTGTAGTGTTAGTAAATAAATAATACTTTTGGTAGAAAAATTGTAAAACCTTGGTTTGTAATGGCCCAAATCTACTTCACAGTCAGTCTGTATTCCTCGTCGTTTAATAGCCTATGGCATAAATTGAAGTTAATTATCAGGGCTGACAAGTAACTCTGCTTTCTGTCTGCTGGCAGAGTCTCTCCGAGGCAAAGATGGAGCTGAGAAGAAAAGATCAATCTCTGCGTCAGCTCAATAGACATCTTACCCAGCTGGAGCAGGACAAGCGTCGACTGGAAGAGAGCATCCACGATGCAGAGAGTGCCCTCCGCATGGCAGCAAAGTGAGCACTGGGACCTTAGGGAGATCACTTAAAACAGACAAAAGATCAATTCTTACTTTCATGCGCAGGGTTTTAGCCCTAGATAAAGCAGTGGTAGAAAACAAAAGTACAGTGCTCTCGCTCTTTGAAATTCAGTGATATATCCTCTAAAAAGAAAACTCTTAGTTCAGTCTACTAAGTGTGTATTTTATATAATAATTCCAGACAAGTGTTCCACTATCTGTGTCCTGTAATTGCATGAGCATTTTTGTTTGCCTGTTACAAGTTGGAGAATGTATCTTCTTCTTCAAGTAGTGTCCCTATGGGTGCTCCCTTCAGAGCATGTGCACCCCTGCACCTTTGATTGGAGATTTTCAGTAGCAGTGTCCATTTGGCCTGTAAATATGCCCTATACACCCTCATGCCCCGTGCTGAGGATATACAGAACTGCGTAGGCAACCTATCCTCCGTTCCTTCTCTACTGCGTTTGGCCTGAAATAAAGTGTTGCGCATGCTCGCTTACTCAAGCCTAGCTTCTAGTGTAGTTAGAGTTAGTATAGCTTATTAGTAGTTTGTTGGGGTCATTATTTTCCCTTCTTGTACGTTTTTCCCCGATTGAGGGGTTATTCTAGACTTCTGTTCTGAGGTATGCCAGGATCCTGAGGCTTTAAAAGGTGTCTTTCCTGTTGGGAAGCTACGCCTGTCACTGGTGGACGTTCTCAGTATCTCCATTGTTTAGGAGATACTCATGTCCCCAATATGTGTAAGAGCTGCACTTCCTTCAAAAGCAGATCTCGAAAAAACAGGAGATCAAATTTGCATTACTGATGATGGAGAAAGCCCTAACACTGGCTTCTGACCCAGGCTCTGAGAACCTCCCTGTAAAAAAGCTGTCGAGTTCTGCTAATGCCCCATCCACTTCAAGATCCCGGTCACCAAGAGTCTTGAGAGATACAAGTGCTGCTGCACCATCCATCTCCAGGTCTTGGTCACTGAAGGCCTCAGGAGAGGCAGCATCTGTATCAGTGCCTGTGGTAAAGAGAGAATCACACTCAGAGTCTTGGGGTACCAACAAGAAAAGTAGGTGTACTAGATCTCCTAAGAAATCCCAGTCCCTGAGTCAGAAGAAGGCTCTGGAGACCTCAGGTCCAAGAGAGAGTTCCACTGAGGCTCTGAGTGGCTCCAGTACTGTCAGGGCATCTAAAATGTCCTCTACAACCCATACTTCGAAAAAAGATTTGGTACTTTGGTAGTAAAGGTTCTGCCTCAAACTGGTCTGTGCCATTGGACCCTGCTGTATCCCTGGTACCTATACTATCATCTCTTATCTCTGCATTGATACCGACAGAGTCAGACCCTGGACATTCTCATATTGAACGATTGGTATCTGTGGCATCCGTGCTGAAGCTGGCCTTCACAGGATCTCATCTAACTCCAGTCTATGTACTTTCAGTACTGCATGAGTTTAGACACTCAAAAGACCTCCTTGTCTCCAATGAGCCAGAATCCCTGTTACTTTATTTTGGGGGTTAAAAGGTCGGGAGGAATCTAATACTTTCTGGATTGTTTAAAAAAATGTATAATATGAAATTGTTGATAAGATATTTGGATTGGCAGAAAATTAGCCTGTCTTTACTAAAGCCTCTGTTTTACTAAGGCTTAATTTTTCCTTCCTTTAATAGAGATAAAGAATTAATTGCCAGTCATATGAAATCTGTGGAAGCCACCCTACAGAAGGTGATGTATTTAGCACTTTCATCTCAGTTGCATTTGTATTTCAAGTCATACCAAGCTTTTGGAATTTATTTATTTTCAGGAAGGCTGATGGTGGGAGTGGTTAAAATTGTACAAAGACTTTATTCATAATTTTAATTAAAGTATCAAAAGATCTCCCCCTTCAACTTCTTTCACCTCCAGAAAGCATTCAGATCAGCAAGCCAAATGTTGTAATATTGTTGTTGACAGGTATGTTCCTTTTATTTTTTTAATATGAAAGTTGTTACAAACCCTTTCCCCCCCGAGTACTCTTTATGCTTGCTAAAGTAAATTAGGATGCTACTGATCATCCCAAACTATGTGTAATTGCTCTTGAATGATCTGTGTATTCACTGAGTGAGGCAGAGGTCATTCAACAAGGGCCCATATCAAGTGGTCATAAAGCGTTTGACTTCTCATGCTCCACTTTAATCCTTGGTAATAATTAAATAGAATTAGAAAAATGGGTAAACTCTGATGCACACTTTAAAACATCATAGTGATTTTAAACCATTTTTAAAATTGAATAGCAATCTAAAGTTGATCCTTTGGCTTGTATTATTTTGCTGCATTGCAGTGTCATCTTGAATACCAGCAAGACTGAATATATGAAGTATATCTCATTTTTTAAAATTACAAATGCCATTGACATTTTGTGGGTGTTTTTCCTTATGACCCAGAGAAAATCAGATATATTTCTACTATCTTATGATGTTAGTTTTCCTCGTCACAAATTGTAAACCCCAAGCAACAACGTACACACTTCTTTAAAATTTTATAATAGGTTTCTTCCTCTTCTGGGCCACCTGCCTGATAGAGTAGAAAGAAATCATGTGTGTCCTGATGAAGATTGAGAATGAGTGAGAACATTACCAGTTTACGATGTATTGGTCAGAGCAGCAAATCATAGTAATGGTTGTAAATAATTCATAATTTAGAAAATCCAGAAAACCCAAGCCAAAGTATTGGACCTATCTCTGGAAGTCTGTGAAATGTAGTAGCCCTCATCACTTGTGGTGTCTGAACACCTCACAGACATTAATGAATTTATCTGTACAGCATACCCATGAGGTGTATAAATGTTTATCCCCATTTTGCAGATGAAGAAATGAGGCAGACATAGAATACAAATCAAGCTACAGAAGCAAGCAGTCCTTTTATTCCTACTATTATCAGGGCAGTCAAAAGGGCGTTCTTCTACAAGTAGAGGAAAAATGTGGAATAGCACTAGGGAGAGGTGGTCTCTCTTCTCTACACATTTCCATCCATCTCTCCTACAGGGAATGATCTGGGTTTTCAGACCTGGTTTCTCTGTTCAATACACCATTACCTTACCTTTTGATCAAGCGGGACCTTCTGAGCCATGGAGATACTAATTGTTTCCAGACACCCACCTATGCAACAGCCACAGATCTACATGTTCAAAAAAAAATTTTTTTTGATGCTTGGAACGACATATCTGTGGAAAACCATGTATTTTTGGGCTTGTTTACACTTACCAGAGGATGGATGCTGCGGCGGTCAATGCATTGGCGCTCGACTTAGTGGGTCTAGTGAAGACCCACTAAATCGACCGCCAATCGCTCTCCTGTCGACTCCTGTACTCCACCTGATCGAGAAGAGTAAGGGGAGTCGACAGGAGAACGACTTCCATCGACGTCACAGAGCCTGGATCCTGTGGTAAGTAAATCTAAGCTACGTCAATTTGAGTTATGCTATTCACGTAATTCAAATTGCATAGCTTAGATCGACTTTTCTCTTTAATGTAGACAAGGCCTCAGACATCTGGCTTTTCTGCTAGGTGGAGTAGGTGTGGACTTGAGGCCAGTAATGTTGATTTAAGCATGCATGGTTCAGCTATCAAGTGTTCAGTATTCAGGCTCCAAATTGTCACTAATTGATCACTCACAAGGGTCGAACTCATAAGTCTAATTTCTGGATGAGCTAGCCTATTTTTCTTAAATGAGAACTCTTAATAGTTCTGTAGGCACTAATTGAACTTATACTTAATTATTAGGGTTGCCCGGTGCCGGTTTTCGACCAGAACACCCAGTTAAAAAAGGACCCTGGTGGCTCCGGTCAGCATTGCTGACTGAGCCGTTAAAAGTTCGATCGGTGGTGCAGCGGGGAAAAGGCAGGCTCCCTGTGGCTCCCCAGAAGCGGCGACATGTCCCTCTCGGCTCCTAGGTGGAGGCATGGCATTGGGGGCTCCACGCGCTGCCCCCACCCCAAGTGCCGGCTCTGCAGCTCCCATTGGCCAGGAACCATAGCCAATGGGAGCTGCAGGGGCGGTGCCTGTGGGCGGAGGCAACGTGCACTGCACAGAGCCTCCTTGCTGTGCCTCCGCCTCTGAGCCGAGGGACATGGTGCCTCTTCCGGGGAGCTGCCCGAGGTAAGCGCTGCCCGGAGTCTGAACTCCAAACCTCCTCTTGCATCCGAACCCCCTGCCCCAGGCCTGAGCTCCCTTCCGCACCCAAACTCCCTCCAGGAGCCTGCACCCCGCACCCCGTTCCGCACTCTGCACCGTTTGGCCCCAGCCTGGAACCCGCACTCCCATCCAGAGCCATCACCCCCACCACACCCCAACCCCCTGCCCCAGCCCAGAGCCCTCTCCCGCAACCTGAACCCCTAATTTCTGGCCCCACCCCGGAGCCTGCACCCCCTGCTGGAGCCCTCAGCCCCTCCCTCACCCCAACTCCCGGCCCCAGCCCAGTGAAAATGATCATGCAAGTGAGGGTGGGGAAGCGTGAGTGACAGAGGAGAAGGAATGGAGTGAGCAGGGGGTGGGGCAGGGCTGGAGCCTTGGGGAAGGGTGCGGGGCAAGGGTGTTCGCTTTTGTGCACTTAGAAAGTTGGCAACCCTACTAATTATACACACAGATCCCTATGTTAAGAGAACATTATCATGGTTGGAAAGTCAAGCACTCAAAAGTTAGAAAACAACAGAATTAAGGTTGCATTTTGGCCCCCTTGTGTATAAACATTATGACAGTCTTTGTTTACATTGTCACATATTATTTTTCACAGGATTTCTGCCTCTATCAGTATGCAGTTTTGCATTATCCTCATTGTTCACTGTGTGGCCCCATATCTTATTTTCTGCACACAATTCAGTCCCTGCTCTGAAGATAGAATTATAAATTTCCTCATGGGCTTTTCTGTGGCACTCACCAAAATAGTATATAAAAAAACATTAATTCATTATTACAATGCTCCCCTAAGGTGAGGGGGCAGTAGTATTATCCCCATTTTATGGATGGGGAGCTGAGGCACAGAGAGTAAGGTTAAAAGTTTCCACTAATTTTGGATGCCCAATTTGAGACACCTAAGACCTGATTTTTTCAGTGCTTAGCATTATACTTTATATGTTCAAAGTATAGCTCCTATATGACTCCATTTACAGCTGTGAATACTCAGCACTTCTGAAAATCATACCCAAATGTATCAAGTTGGTTGCAGAATTCATGGTATCGTAGTCCACATAACAGTGAGAAGGGCGGGGGGGGGGTCTGTTGAAGTGATATACTCTGAATGATTACTTTCTTTCTTTCAACAAATCCTAATATATTAGTTTTAGTATTAATTTATATCCGGACAGATAAGCTGGACCTTCCTCTATCCTTCATTTAGATGTTAAGAACCTTTGTCATTTTTGCTGTCAACACATTTGAAAATTCTTCATACAGAATTTTTGGTTCCTTCTGATAAAATCTACCTTTTTTAAAAAAAATCTAAAATTGTATAATCAGAAAGGCCCCCTGGCCTCCTTCTTCAGGTTAGGAGGTATCTTTGGAGGCTCTGGATAAGGCTGCTTTTATTAGGTTAGTGTTTGGTCTGAAGTGCAGTTGTCTGTTCATCCTCCCAGTGGAAGGCAAATTATTTGGAGGGTAGGGAAATTGGTTAGAGTTTTATGAGCTCTGAGGTGAGTAAATTTCAGTTTTGTGGACTGGTTTCTTTATGTGGATTATGGTTGGTTGGCTACTGTTTGTGTCTGTGTTGGTTTGCATTTTTAATTATTTGTCAAGGGCACCGCGAGCCTGAGGTAGCTGTTCTTTTATGTTTCATATGTTGAAATGTTTATTTTTATTTCTAGTGAATAGCAGCTGTCTTGCACAGTCAATTGGAAAATTAGAGCAGAACCATCATTGTTTAATCTAAAATATTAATGACATATTATACCGTTTACTTTTTCAATTACATAAAAAAGCTTTCTTGTGTCCATAATGAGGACTGATTCTTTTTGACTGGAGTGTCACAACAAAGTGGAAGATCCAAAGAATTTACACTAAAGTCAATGTTGCCATCTCTCATAAGTTTACCATGTGACTCCTGATATTTGCTGTTTTTCATTAAACTCCCACTTGTGGACTGAAATCAAGTGAGTTACATGATAATCTTGGGTTTCCTTTTTTTTAAAAAAGGGGCAATTCTTTTAGCCCTCATGGATGTGGAAAAAAGTTTGAAAACATGGCCTGAGTGTACCCCAAACATATGAAAAGCAGAAAGCAAATAAAAGGAAGCTGTTTTTAAAAATCTCATGATTTTAGGCCAATCACACGACTTGAGGCCTGACTCATAATTTTTGAATGCTTGGGATTGGAAATACTGTAAGCCATTCCATATTGGGAACAAAATAGCATTAACCACAACTGTATTTACAGTGGTCATCTATACCTGGGCTCGATTAACCCATTTTTCATTTAAATAAATAAACTATAGAAAAAAAGGGACTAGCACAGTTTTTAAAGAAAAATCTTTAACTGCACTGATCAGCAAAATTCTCCTAGAACTCTAATTTCAATTTCAATTCATTGTTGTAAAAGTTAAAATACCAGAGTGAAGTGTACGCTATAATAATAGAGTTTTTCATAGGTTATACTTTGCACTCGCTCTTCTCTTCAATGTAATTGTTCATACTTTTCTTGACAAAAACTTCTTTAAGAAGTTTGTTTAAAAATCTAACAGTATATTAAAAATTGTATT